AAGCTGCGTCCAGATTACGCGCGCCGAACTGCGCAAAACGTTTGCGAGCGTTGCAGCAACATGTAATGTGGACGGGTATATGCGCACGAACGCGCCACTGCGTGCATGCACGAATTTGTTCGGGCAAGTGTCGGTACATCAAAGAAATTCGGCTAAGCGCGCGTTTAAAGTTAAGTGAAGTTTGGACGTAGTTGTGCGCATTCCTGCAACACAATGAGTGAAATTGAATGGAGTCGGGAGAAAACACTGCAATTAATTAACATGTATGAAACAAAATCAGAATTGTGGGACGTGAAAAACAGTAATTACCATTTACGAAATAAAAAACATGATGCTTGGAAGAACATAGCAACAGAAATGGAAAGCGACGTTGAAGTAATAAAGGCGAAAGTAGCATCGTTGCTGTCATCGATGAGAAGAGAAAAGGCCAAAATGAAGAATTCTACAGGCACGGGGAAAGGTAGTATTTTGATTTTCTTTTGATGTCCATTTTAGCTAATTGTGTATACATATGCAGGTAGAAACGAAATATATATAAGCAAATGGTTTGCTTTCGAAGCCTTTAAATTTTTGTGGGATAAGGACAGTGTAAAGGGCTCAATAAATACAGAAACGGTAAGTTCAGATTATATTTATTTCCAGCCTACTTACATAGTAGCATTTACCTAAGCATATTTATCTTGAAATGATACAGCACCATTCGACGAAAAATACTCCGCTAGTTCGTTCCGAATTTGTTGTGCATTTAGAGGAGATTTTCGCGGTAGTCTTCTGATAGGCAAGAATGAATTTTCAGGATTACCGTCACGTCGCCATGTTCCTTCTATTAATAAACCATCCTCTTCGCTATCAAATGTTCCAGGCGGAGTATATATTTGATTTGAGTTTCCGCTTCTTAAAAAATTATGCAAGTAAAGAGTGGTTAAAACAACAAGCCGTGCCTTCTCAGGCTCCAGTAATAGTGGTTTTCTCAAAACCCTAAAAACAGCGGACAATATGCCAAACGCGTTTTCGACAATTCTTCGTGCTCGTGACAAGCGATAATTGAAAATTCTTTCTGGTGTACCTTTGTCATGTAAACCTGAATAAGGCTTCATAATGTTGTCATGCAAGGCAAAAGCATCGTCAGCAACAAACACATAAGGAATCCGTTTCTGTCGGCCAGGAAGAATCCGTGGTTCCGGAATGGGAAGTTCTCTCTTTTCGATTTTTCTCCATAATAAACTATTTTTAAAAATTCCCCCATCCGAAATGCGACCCTGACCACCAACGTCACAAAAAAGAAAATTGTATTGACCATCTACCAAAGCAAGTAGTACTATACTGTGAAATGATTTATAGTTGTAATATTCGCTTCCACTCTGTATGGGTGCTTGTAACATAATATGTTTCCCATCTAACGCCGCTAGGCAATGAGGGAAATGCCACACGTCTTCGAAAATTTTGGAAGTTTGTGTCCACTCTTCTATAGTAGATGGCATCTGAAAATGTGAAATACACTGTAAATTCAGTACTATGGTCTATGAGTACACAAGCAGTGAAATCCATAAAAATTGCACTACCTATACTATTCTACACACGCCATTTAATAAAATATTTTTCTAGGACGAAGAAAGCACTACTGATGAAACTTTCAACAATTCAGAATCGCAATGTGTAGACAGAGAACCTCAATCAGTTGTAGCAAATGATGAAATCGAATCGGGTAGTGTAGTTTCCGTTGGGACAAGTCCTCAAATCCCAACAGCAAAACGTAAAATTTTTGTATCTCCCAAGAAAATACTTCCGAAACGAAAATGTGTACAAGAAGATCCTAAAGTGTCTGCTGCATACGATCTGCTTAAGAAGGTCTCAACCACTCCAAAAGACGAGTGTCATACTTTTGGTCAATACATAACAACACAGCTACAAAAAATGGATGAACGCACCCGAGCTGTTACAATACACAAGATTAATAACGTTATATTTGACGCTGTAATTGGAAGATACGATAATGGTAGTGGATCCAATACAAGATCCTCGGCATCTACACCTTCCTCTTCACATAGTTCCGGAAATATTGGGGCCGCCGATCACCTTTTATTCAATGAACAGTATCAGGATCCATTTTCCCAAGACACCCCTCAACCAAGTCCAAACTCACAATCTCAGGATTCATGGGGTGCTGTACAACATTATTACAATACATTCGCGCCTTAAGCAGTGATTACAAATATTCTCGTTTACAAATTTTGTTGTGATGCACACACACACACACCTTTTATGGATAACACTACGAATAAATGCAATATTTCTTACCTTTACGTAGTCTTTCAATGCGTCACACAAAGCTTGGCACACTTCAGTCACTATGGTAGATGTGCTCTGTTTAGAAATTTTGAACAGGTACATCAAACTTGTGTATGAATCCCCAGTTGCCAGGAATCGTAGAGTAACTGCCAGTCTCTCTTTAACAGGAATGGGTTGTCTGAATGTAGTTTCTTGCTTCGCTATTTTATGCCCAATTAGATGTATCAGATATTCAAAATCTTCACAAGATATACGGCAAAAATTTTTGAACTGTCCAGTGCGTGACAATGATAAATCGTTCAACAGGTTGCTGCCACTATAAATATTGCGACTTTTAAATAAATTCGTCATCCAATAGCGTCTTCTCTTGCGTTGCTTTTTCTTTATAGCGTCGCAAAGAATAATAAAAGCTGCTGCAGAGATTTGCACATCATCATCCATGGTCACTCAAAAATATTCACCCGTTCAATTGGGAACCCTAGCAAACATAGCCAAGCACACACACAAACCAGAGACAAGACAGTGTGCGCAAAACATTTCTGCAACGCTCGCAAACGTTTTGCGCAGTTCGGCGCGCGTAATCTGGACGCAGCTTTAAGACGCGGACACGAGATTTAAGTGACTTTTGAGACAACTTTCAGAATGACAAAATAAAGGTTTACAGAAGTTTATAGCTTATTATCTTTCATTCCGAGGTGAAACACTAATATGACTGGACTAATGACAATTAAACAATAACATTAAAAATTATCTTCATTGAATGTAATCTTAGTTACAATGATGTAAAATTATTGACTTTTAATATTAAATGGAATGTCGGGCGTAGGTGACGCCATCGAAGTGACAAGACAAATTGTGCTCAGGTTAAATAACTTCAGGAAAAAGTAACTAGCGGGAAATTTGAAAAAGAAAGGAAAAGAGAAGGGGCGGGATCAAGGTGAAGGGGTGAAATGAGAAGAAAACTTGAAGTCGCCAAGAGCTAAATTAATAAACAGATACAACTAAATATTGAAGGATACTCCGTATTAGCATCACTTTTTTTAAGACCATTTATGTTATAGTTGCAGAATACATATTATACAAAAATGCCTTAAATTCATGTCATGGGCTTTGAGATAATGCTCTTGACCTTTTTCCCAACGATCGCGGTGCAAGATTAACGATCTCGACATGTTTTGATCAAAAATCATGTGCCCTCAGAAAAAGACTTTGACATCGTTGAATCACACACACGCGGTTATCAAATTTGCATGTGATGTACTCTTTCGGCATCAAGATAATGCGTTTGAAATCTCTTTTTTAATTCCAAATTCATGTGTAAAGAATAATTTTGGGTACATTTTGCTCTAAAGCTTTTAACGTAGACCACAGAGAAGAGTTATATTGAATTGCTACACATCTAAGTCATAGGCAATAATCTGAAATGAAACTACGAATTTGATACACGACCTAGGGATAGAAATATGTTGATTTCTATTATATTGAGACCGGATTTTTTCCTGTTCCCGAGATTCAGTCCTATAACTTTTATTCTTGTTGAACCAGCTTCTTGAAAATCAGTAGCGTCCGTCCTTAATATCCAAAGTACCTCTGTACTAAATTTCAACACAATCAGTCACATTTAAAAAAATGTTTCAAAACCCAGTCGTGGCTATTGCCGCGTAACACAAAGTATTGAAACGATGCATTGTCATCGAAAGCACACAATGTCGAATTTGCATATTGAAGCACGTCCACGTCCAGAGAAAGAGAGGAGTGAAATAAGTAAAATAAAGTTTCAAAGAAGTATTACCATACATAAGAAAGTAGGCTCTGAGCAGTCACTGCGCATGCCCACATAATTTTTACCATGCGCGAAATGTTTGCCTTTACTAGAAGCATCTGTGGTTAAAGTTTCAAAGAAATATCTCCATAAATAAGAAAGTTGGCAACTGATCGAAATGGACAAATATAGACCATAGCAGCTATCAATTAGCGAAAACCCGAAGTCTCTAGGTCGCCCAGGGGCCGAGATCTCGATGGAACGGACGGACAGACGGAAACACGAGCACATAAGCTTTACCTCAACTTCGTTGTGTTACGCTAAAAAATTATAGCGCAAACGGACGGACGTACGGACAACAATACAAAACTATAGAGGAACGGAGGATCCTTAATAAATGAAAGTGGTTCTTTGAATAAATGGAAAAATTTCTCGCTTTCATAAAGCTTTGTTATTTCATTTAATTTTTTAACGTTTGTTATATAACGACTTTTGTTAAAATTTATTTTGTAAATACAATTGGTATTTCTATAATTAGGTTTGGCTTTACAAACAGAAGATAATAATATCAGTTCAGTGTGCGTTGTTGTGTAGCATTCCATATTCAAAACGTAAAGCATATTGTAGTTTTACGTGCACAATCCTCTCATCCAAATTCGTTACATTATGTAAATTAAATTCATAACCTTTGTCTAAATTTTCATTAGTTACACTTAATGTTGAATTCTGTACTGTAAGCTTATACAATGTTCGGTAGCAAAACATTTGCAAGCCTTTGCAATAATTATAGTGTAATTTGGTGTGATTTTGAATCTCCATTGAAAAGGGTGTTACGACGATATAAGCGACTTTAGCACTTAAGGCGATTATTTTTCCCAATTCTCCATATTCTTATTCGTAATTGTTTTTATTGTGTTTATAAACTAGGAAAACTGGCGAGTGGTGACGGCATACACTCCAAATAGCAGATAATGGCAATATCAAAATGGGTAATACACAAATCGCGATATAGTTCAATGATCTTTAGGTGATTTTACGCATTTTATATCTTGCTAATAGGGGAGATATTTAGAAATTTACTTTTAGCAGTTTTGGAGGCTGCGTATCTTAAACGAAAGTTGAATAGTGAAATTTATTCTATACCATTGATGAACTTGATTGAATTTTTAGCGCGTTTTACGTAGCTTGTGATTTTCGAATCCACAATAAACGCCGAAAAAAATAAATTGCGGCCATTAAACTGTAGGTACGTATGTAGTGATTTTGAACAACGCAAATTCTCTAAATATCTTTATTCAATCGTGTAAAAGCTTAATTAAATACTAAATTATGGAATCACATGAACTGAATTTTAAGGTGTCTACAGGAAAAGAGAAAGTAAATGGTTAATAAGAAACGTACGTGAAAGAAACATTAATTTAATAGATAAAGGTGGGGATTTTATAAAGAAGTGTGAAAGTTAACTAAAGTTTGAATTTAAAATTTAAGGTAAGAAGAATTGTTTCCAGATTGAAAATTTTTGCTAATTAAGAAAAAAGAGGCACAAAAACTATTTTAATACTCCCTTTAAAGTTTCAGTTTACTTTTCAAATGCGTTTAGCACTTCTGTTTGCAAGTCACTTTTACAGTGCCGTATTTCCCATTACGCAAATTACGCCCAGGCGTAAGGCGGCAATATTGGAGAGGCGGCAAAATTTCAATTTTCAAATCAAAATTAGGCGTCTTCCTTCACCGACTTCTCACCACCTATGTCACCACTCAACTCACGGTGAGTGACTCACCTCACCGTCATGTTCCCCTTCCCACACGTAAGAAGCAAGTGCAATATTTGAAGTTGTCAATATGCAGTGATCATGATCAGTGTCGTGAGTGAATTGCAGCTGAAAGCGTAGGGGTTTGTATGTAGTGAATTATATTATATTGTGAACGGTGTGTATCGTAATTCGTAATTCGCATTCGTATATCTGTTTGCTTTTTACAGATTAGTGTTATTACTTTATTAGTGGTAGCACAGTCTAAATACAATTAGACTGTGATGGTAGATAGTCGTAGTAATCTGTGATCACTGATCAGTGCGTTTTACCGTTTATTTATAGTGTTGAGTTTGAGTCGAGTGTCACAAACATTTTACAGTATAACAATTAACAATACTATGAGTGACGGCCGGAAACGGTTAAGTGGAGCGCAGTACAAAGCACTCGCTGAAGAAAAACGGAGAAAGATTCAGGCCGTTTTAGACAAAACTCAAAATTTGAAAAACTATTTTTTAACTAAGCCTACAAATTCCCAAGAGCAAACAGATTGTTCAGAATCGGAAGATTTGGAGGTTGTTAGTGTTGTACCTATACCTATACCACCTGACAATGCAGTCAATGCAGAAGCGGTGGACACGGTCACAGAAGCATGTAAGTAATTAAGTATCAGTTATGTCATTATGTGTTTTTTAAACCACGCCCCCACATATTTACTCATTAGGTACTTTCGTCTTTCTGGGCACCCATTTGATAAATTTTTATTAATTTTATAGTCTTATAGAATGCCCGTTGGGATTAAATGAAAGTCAATTTTCCACACGTTTACAACTTTGTAATTATCAACAATTGGTGCTGTTGGTCCTATCAAAAAAAAAAGTGCCAAATTCTTGACAGACAGGTATTGTTACAGCATCATCATCGAACGTAGAATCTGCATGTCCATCACCATGTTTGCCAGCAATTGTGAGCAACGACCCTGCCGATTGGAACATCAATGATGATACTATCAATTATTTAATGTCATTGCCCAATGAAATATGCCAAAATACAGATGAGGATTTTTCATTAACCAAAATTGTTAATGGCGGAAAGTCACGATGTCTCACTAAAAACGTTTTCCGCCGGAAACTTGCCAATGGGGAAGAACAGCCTCGTAAATATTTGATATATTCATCTTCAAAGAAATCCCTGTTTTGCATCCCATGTCGACTTTTCGGAGGAACATCAAAAATGGCAACTGAAGGCATAAATGATTGGAGTAATGTAAATAAAATTTTGAATTTACATGAAAACTCCAAAGAACATGCCAAATCTCAAGTAACTTTATTAAGGCGTCGACAAAAACAAAACCAAATTGATTCACTGCTGTGTCAGCAAATAAGTATTGAAGAAGATTACTGGCGAAACGTGTTGAAGCGCGTAGTTGCAGTGACTAAAAAATTGGCTTCCAGGGGGCTACCGTTTAGAGGAACAGTTGAAAAATTTGGTAATACGAACAATGGCAATTTCATGATGTGTCTGGAGCTCATAGCAGAATTTGATCCGTTTCTAGCCACACATTTATCTCAGCACGGAAATCCTGGAAGTGGTAAAACGTCATACCTATCATCTACAATATGTGAAGAGTTTATTGACCTCATGTCGACTGAGGTACTAAATCATATTATGACCGAAATTAGAATGTCAAAATACTACTCAATTATAATTGACTCCACACCCGACATGGCTCACATTGATCAATTATCCGTAATAATCAGATATGTTACAAACAACGGAAAACCAGTGGAGCGTTTTATTGGCTTTTTGCCAAATGTGGGGCATAAATCTGAAGATTTAGAAAATGCTATCATGTCAAAATTGGAGAAACACAACTTGGAATTAAAACATTGTCGAGGTCAATCCTACGACAATGCGAGTAACATGTCGGGATGTTACAGTGGTCTACAAGCAAGGATTTTAAATCACAACCCACTCGCTTATTACCTACCATGCGCCGCCCATTCACTGAATTTGGTTGGAGTCTGCGCTGCTGAATGTACTAGAGAGGCTGTAAGGTTCTTTGAAACGATTCAAAACCTATATACTTTTTTCTCGGCATCTACTCGTCGTTGGGAAATTCTACTTTCCAGTTTAAAACCTGGCGCTAAAGTTCCAAAACGCGTAGATGGAACAAGGTGGTCTGCACGCCATGATGCTTTAATGAGCTTATGCGGAGGCTGGGGGGATTATTTAAATGCTTTGACAACAATTGAAGAATCTATTTCTGAAAAACCTACGGTCCGTGCGGAGGCGGCTGGGATTAAACGTTGCTTAAACCGCTTTGAATTTGCCTTCATGTCGGTTTTTTGGGAAGCGATATTAGAGCGTTTCCACAGCACTAATAAAATTCTTCAGAGCGTCGAAATCGACAATGGTGACGTAACTAGACTCTTTTCGTCTTTGATAAGTTTTGTAAAAGCTCTACGAAATACTACCATGTTTGAAACGTACCTTGATAAAGCCAAAGAAATTATGGATGAAAGCTACGACAATGATCGTCAAAGAACTCGGAGACGTAAACTTTTCCCAGATGAAAATATGGATGGCGACACAATTCTGACAGGCAAGGAACAACTAAAAGTAGAAACATATTTTTCCATACTGGATAGGGTTATGGTGGAACTGGAAAAAAGATATGAAGCATATGACAGTGTTTTCAAAAAATTTAAGTTCTTTTTTACTCTAAAAGAAAGTTCTCAAGAACAGTTGATTGAAAGTGCCAACTACCTGCAACAATGTTATAAGGACGATCTGGAAGATGTATTTGCAACAGAATGTTTGCATTTCGCGGAACTTTTAAAAGAAACAGACACGAAACACGAAAAATGTACCTTATCAAATATGCTTTCATACATTCGATCTCACAATTTAGAAGCAGTTTTCCCCAATGTTGAAATTGCCTTACGTATGTTTGTTACTATGGCGGTCACAGTTTGTTCAGCGGAGCGTTCATTTTCAACACTTAAACGTTTAAAAACATACTTAAGAACAACAATGCAACAAAACCGTTTAAATGCATTGACAATTTTGACAATAGAGTCTGATATAACAATAAAGTTAGATTTTGATAGTCTTATAAACTCATTTGCGTCTATAAAATCCCGACGAAAAATAATATAGTTGTGATAATAAATAGGTATACAAAATTTTATAATCTAGTTTTATTGCTCATACTACCTTACCTACTAAACTGAAAGCGGCACTTTTTGGTTAGCGTAGGGCGGCAAATTGGTAAATCCGGCACTGCACTTTTAATTAGAATAGGTGTTTAATCTCGTAGGTTAGGTAACTTTCCAATTCAAATTAGTTGGCCACGACTCAAGTGTGCCAAAAGCACAGTAAAGGTTGATCTTTAGGAAAGTATTCCTTTGTTGGAAACACTTGACATGCTACCGTGTGCCAATGTTTTTCGAGTTTTAAAGTGGTTTGTGTGTGAGAATATATAACGATAACGTGTTCGACTGTTTTTAATGCTACCAGTTCAGTTACACGTTCGGTACATGGATGATAATAATCGAAATTTGTTCAAGTACGATTGCCTATGTTGTCGGCAAAGTTTCCCGGTTAAATTTGCAACAACCAAATGCAAATACATGAAATATTACTTTAAATAGAATCAGTAGTTTAATCTAACTGGTTAGTCTCACTAGTCAATATGCCTTTCATACACGCATTCATATCCCTATTTCTGCTATCCCCAGTATACGTATTTATATACAAACATTAAACTTTTGCATTTAACGTTTTTCTCTTCGTTGCCGAAATTTTTTAGATTTTGATCCACTATCTGGATGAATTTTGAAAAAATTGTTAAGTACTTATCTCTTTTCCCGTCGCCCTCACATGTAAGCTCGTCGTCGCCTGCCGGTAGTTTACTCCTAGTGCGGCTCAGACTCCTGGAATTTCGTCGATGTCGGTAACCTCAAAATAGATTGGTTCGAAGGTAAATTCCTCCTCGATCTTCGTTAGGTAGGTTTGCTAGTTGTTATTTTTTTTTTCTCGTTGAACTTTGAAAACAAAACGCCTGCCGATGAAAACAAATCGCTGGCCCAAAAAGGAAAACAAATCGCTGGTCAAAAGGTTTAATGGTTTCCCAACATGGAAATTCAAACTGCGTTCACGTGGAAAGTTTTCTCGCTCTTGATGGCGTTGAACTCACATATGATTGCGTCACAATTGCACAATACTTATTCTCAGTTATTCACGTGTAAAGGTAACGAATTTTATACTACGAAACGTAGAGCACTTTCACTGTTTCCCTACGTAAAAATATTCACGCTAAAAGATATTCTCTAGGTAAAAAATGTTCTTTAAAGTTTTTCTACACCCGCCTTGGCTTCTCTTAAGCGGCCATCTCTCTTCTCCTTTTTCCTCACTCCAAGTGTTGCCAACCTAACTAAAACCAATTATGGTAAAACTTTCATGGAAAAATGGCACAATGATGTTGTATAATGGTATACAGTGTGCAACCTTATACAGGGTGCTAAAGTTAAGACGTTTTAGCTAAATGAAAAGTAACTTTAATACGGTGCTCTTATAAAGGGTTTTGTGTTCAAATTTTAGGCAACACATCATGCATGATCGCTCACACGCACACGAAGGGCTTATTCTTATGTGACCGTTACATCTATGTAGATCACTGTAGTTGCGAATCCACACAATGTAGTCGGTATATCTGAGCTATTACCTTCTTATACCACAATAATGTGGATTAGAAAACAAAAAAACGAAACAGGAAACAGTGTTGATTATGGCAATTTTAAACATTTTTATACAGTTTCTATTTCAAAGTCATTATCCACATCTTCTACTTCACTAGAAGTACCATACAATAATGCTTTTGTCATATAACTTAAAACATGTTTGGTTACAGGAAAATTGTAACATTGACCTGCGGCTTTTACTGCTTGGCTGGCCAGTAATGTACCGTTTATGGTACTCGTAATCAATTTATTTCTTTGTTTAGTTTTAATAAGATTAACCTTACTAAATATCCTCTCACACTCTGCATTTGAATGGGGAAAACAACAAATACTTAAAACAAACATAGATAATAACGCAAATGGTTGTGAACCGGCTTCATTTTTAAAATTGTACAATTTTTCCCAGAAAACGTCCACATCATCATTAACAGAGATGGTTTCCGGCAATGTGAAGTGTGGAAGTTTCCTCCACTCATCATCTATTGCCTGAAATTGCTCTGGAGATAGAATTCTAGGTAACATAACTAATACATTACCGATAGAAGGGTACTGAATCCTTATAGTATGCGATACAGCATTGACAGGTTTGAATAAATATAAAAGTTGCAACACTTCATCACCAAAGTCAAATCTACTTTTGATTTGCATACAGCTAGTTTTAAAAAATTCTACAACCCTTACATAAAAATCATTTTTAAGATCATTTCTGCCTTTATTTTCAGGTTTACTAAAAAACTGCATAACTTTAACACCCACATAAATGGATTCATCTCTTAAAATTTTTAGATTCATCGCAAGGATTAATTATTGCAAACGGTGTTTGCATAACGTATGCTCTGTCCATGTAGCAACATAATAAATCCTTGAAAGAATCTGAAATGTTTTGATAAAGGCTGGTAATGACCACCTTATCAGATTGAAAATGTTTATTTAGGTCAGTAAAAATTGGAAGCACCCAATCCAAAAACAAGAAAATCAATTTTATTAATGGATCATTCAAATTTTTATGGATCAGTTCCGCTGCTACTAACCTTTCTTCTAACCATTTTTCGTTAAAATATAATATCAAAGCATCCCATTGCTCCACTATTCTACTTACTGCTGCATGGACAGATAACCAGCGTGTTTGCGATGGACGCAAAATTTTATGAATGTCTAAATCTAGAAACATTTGAAATTTTTTTAAAATCACTTTGCCTTTTTACAGCTTCCATGAAAGAAATTAAAAATATTTCTTGCCAAATCTTCGCATGCTCTTGGTAGTTGTTTACAAGCAAAACTTGCACACAAGTGCAAAGAGTGACAAATACATTTAAATATTTTTATACCAGGACACAAATCACGAAATCTGCTTGCCACAGAGTTAAATTCCCCCATCATAGTGTTAACAACCATCTGATCCGAATCCAATGATGTCTGTTGGAACATCACGACTAGTAAAACTGCCGATTAATAAATTGAACAAATGTTCAGCAGACGCTACATGTTCCTTATTCATATCATCGCTTTTGTTAAAAACTTGAATCAGTTCCCAAAAGTGACTGGAAATTACCACACCATTAAAAAATCTGCAAGTATATTGTACATAATAATAAATATGGAAACAATTTAAATTAACTAACCTGACAACAACACACATTGTTTTAGTGGCCGATATATCAGTTGATTCATCTATCAAGACACTGAACTTTGTGGTTTTTAACAAATTTACCAGTTCAGCCTTGTGCGACTCCCCTATCACGTTTTTGACGATATTCGTTGCCTTTGTTCTCTTGAGTTGCAGTTTATTTACTATTTTTGAATCTGGACAAATTTGCTTGATCAATGGTACTAAATGATCCATTAAGTTAAATGAAAGATTGTGTTCAGCAATAAACGCACACAATTTTATTTCCGATTCTTTTACTTTTGCATCCTCGTCCGTACTTGAAGCAGAAAGGAAATTTTGCATAACTGTGTTTTTGCTATAAGCATTTGCACTGCTTAAGTTTCGTACATGCCTTTCGGTAATAGAAGGAGTTTTGATCACAGACACATCTGCTTTGCACGTAATATTACAAACACTACAACTGGCTTTCGTGGGATCATCCTTAACGGGTTTTAACCACATTTCAAATTCCTTTTTCAATTGTCATTCTTTCCTGAATTTTTGAATCCTCTTTCCATATTTCCGCTTCTTTACTGAACTTGAAGCAGCTGGAGATTCCCTACTATCATCAGATGAATAATGCGAAGAATCGCCCATTGCAATCGAACTATAAAAATTTATTGTTAACAATTTATCTTTAATTATTTTAACACTTACCAAATTTTATTAACCAACCACAAATACTTATCTATGTGTTGAACTAAGGATCACAAATGACTGTCAGTTAAGTTTATTTATAAACACTGCAATCACGTAAATCTAATTAAAACACTATAAACATAAACTATAATACAAAGTATGTCTTCTATGAACTTGAACCAAACCACAAAACACGTGTTTTGTCAACCAAACAAACAGTAAACAACTGAAAAAACTAAACTTGCTGGCTTTGGCGTACAAGAGAAGAGTGGATCAGGACTCGGCAGTCGGCAGTGGCGCACGGCTGCCCGCATTTACTTAAAATTGCACCACCTGTCTCCACTTAAAAATTAATATCCACTCAAAACTCTTAAAAATGTTACAAAAAATGGTACAATTTTGTGAAATGGTACAATTATGCGTACCTCTTGCATTACAATGGAAACTGGTACACATACTTCGATAATGGCGCATGTACCATTATAATGGTACGGTTGGCTCACTCACTCTTCCCACCTTACTCACTAAACTCCCCAGAACTTATGTACAGTATCTTCCCAACTTAATTAACCAACAAATATTTATACACAAGTCTGCAACTTCTACACAACAATAATTCAAAAACACAAACTAAATTATAGTGAAAATCAACGCTATCTTAGAAAGTGGCACCTAGTACCGGACAGACTTTCACCGCAAAGTTTTAAAACATTGGCACCGATCGCATATGTAAGCGTCTGAACATATGTCCATGAACTTGGCAGGCCTACTACAGCAGACCATGGTTCTGCTTACTGATATCGTTAGTGTTCCGTTAGTGCACGTTAGTGCCGCTGAAGAAATCGTTAGTGCGCAAAAGGAAACTTACTATTTTAAAAAAATATTTGTGGGCCTGCTAACTTCATGCCAGCAGACCCATTTAAGAAAATCGATGCAATCTGTACACTAGTTAAACTAGCAGCGTTAGTGCTCGTTAGTGCCACCAATATAAACGTTAGTGCTCAAAGTGTAACAGCTCAAAACGTTGTAAAAAGGGGTCTGCTAACTTCATGCAGCAGACCCGCATTTGTCAAATTGGCCCTGTCCTAAGGTGAAGCACCTCGTTAGTGGTCGTTAGTGCTTCACATGCGAACGTTAGTGCTGAAAGGGAGCCGTACCAAAAAGGTACCAAACCACCTCAAAATTAAACTTGACTTATTGGGACCTGCCAACTTCACGACCGGTAAATATTAGTGCTCGTTAGTGCC